TAACATGAAGCCACCAGAGGAGGAGCCCTCAGACCACTAATGATTTCAACACCAGTTCACTGTTACAGTAAAGAGAGAAAGAGGCATAATAAGATTTGAAAAGGTAAATGAATATAAGATGGTTCATTAAAATATTGAATAATAATATCAAACACACAGTGGAGGCATTTTACAAAACATGTTTTTTTCCTTCTGTCTCAAAAATATTAATTATGGAATTTCTTTGTATTGACTGAAAAACATGAGTATTCATGGCATCCTTGTACTGAAGAGTTACATGTTATTCATGTATTTAATGCTTAATTAATATTCTCAAATGTATTCTTCACTATTATTGCTACTCAATTTTTTGTTCTCCTGAAATCTTGAAAATGGTATGACTTATGAACTATTGTAACATAATGAAGAACATTTGTTAGGGTGTTATTTGACATTCATTTACATTAAAATGTAAAATGTTAAAAAAATACTCACTTTAGGTGTATGGTAAAATTGATAAACTATTGTCGAGGTCTTCACATTTCATTAGCATTAGCAGTTAGCTATGGCTTCTCCCTCTCCCTCTCCTCTGTCCTGCTCAATGTGTCAGATGTTCAGTTATTCCTCTGCCTCCTTTAGTGATAATGGTACCTGTATTAAATGTAGTTTATTTACTGCGCTGGAGGCGAGGCTTAGTGAGTTAGAGGAACCGTACCGCACCACTCAGATATCTTTAGCCGCTATAGTTAGCCAGCCCCCGGTAGCCGGTGCGGTCTGACCGAAGGTAGCTTCTGTTAGATCTGTAGATCCTCCGGTAGTTCCCGAGCAGCCGGGAAGACAGGGAGGCTGGGTGACTGAGCGAAGGAAGACTAAAACGGCGAAGCCCACAGGTCACCACCAACCCCTTCACGTTTCCAATACATTTTCCCCACTCAGCGATACACCCGCTGAGGAACCAACTCTGGTTATTGGCAGCTCCTTAGTTAAATGTATCCCTGGGGCCAGAGCGGGCGACATTGAATCAAATTTAAAACTGCTGGCTAAAGATAAACGTAAATACAGAAAGATTGTTATCCACGTCGGCGGTAATGACACCCGTTTACGCCAATCGGAGGTCACAAAGATTAATGTGGAGTCGGTGTGTAATTATGCTAAGACAATGTCGGACTCCGTAGTTTTCTCTGGACCCCTCCCCAATGTGACCAGTGATGACATGTATAGCCGCATGTCGTCATTCCACCGCTGGCTGTCGAGGTGGTGTCCAGCAAACGATGTGGGCTTCATTGATAACTGGAAGCCTTTTTGGGGAAAACCTGGTCTGATTAGGAGAGACGGCATCCATCCCACTTTGGATGGAGCGGCTCTCTTATCTAGAAATATGGCGAAGTTTATCTCTAAAACCTGACAGTCCAGAGTTAGGACCAGGAAGCAGAGCTGCTGTCTTACACACTTCTGTGTCACCCACCCAAAACCCCATAGAGACTGTCTGTCCCCCGACCACCTAAATTATTTAAAGAAATAAAAACAAGAGGAGTTAAACATAAAAATCTAATAAAAATTAAAACCAACTCCTCAGTAGCACAAAATAAGAGAATGAAATGTGGGCTGTTAAATATCAGGTCTCTGTCCTCTAAAGCTGTTTTAGTGAATGAATTAATATCAGATTATGATATTGATTTACTTTGTCTTACTGAGACCTGGTTGTCCCACAAGGAGTATGTTAGCCTAAATGAATCCACCCCCCCCAGTCATATTAATACTCACATTCCTCGAGGCACTGGCCGAGGAGGTGGAGTAGCAGCCATATATGATTTGAGCGTTTTAATGGACCCTAAACCAAAAACTAAATTATAATTCATTTGAAAGCCTTGTTCTTAGTCTTTCTCACCCAAACTGGAAAACATTGCAGCCAGTTCTATTTGTTATATTGTACCGCGCTCCTGGACCGTACTCTGATTTTATATCTGAATTTTCAGAGTTTTTATCAAGTTTAGTCCTTAAATCAGATAAAGTAATTATTGTAGGTGATTTTAATATTCATGTGGATGTTGACAATGACAGCCTTAGTAATGCATTTATATCATTAATAGACTCAATTGGCTTCTGGCAGAGTGTAAATAAACCAACTCATTGTTTTAATCACACTCTTGACCTTGTTCTATCATATGGCATTGATATTGAACATTTAATAGTCTTCCCACATAATCCTTTCCTATCTGACCATTATTTAATAACTTTTGAATTCATGTTGTTAGATTATAAGCCATTAGGCAAAACTTCCTACAGCAGATGTCTATCTGACAGTGCTGTAGCTAAATTTAAGGAGGAGATTCCTTCAGCGTTTAATTCAATGCCATGTCTGAATTTAACAGAATCCTATAACGACTTTAGTTCCTCTGAAATTGATAATCTTGTCGATAGTGCTACAGGCTCACTACGATCAACATTAGACTCTATCGCTCCTATAAAAAGGAAATTATTAAAACATAGGAGACTTGCACCTTGGTATAACCACCAAACCCGCCAGTTAAAACAAATAGCTAGGAAATCTGAAAGGAAATGGCGCTCTTCCAAATTATCAGAATATCGCTCAAATTGGCAAGATAATCTTAAAACTTATAGAAAGGCCCTCCGTAATGCCAGAGGAGCCTATTACTCAGCACTAGTAGAAGAAAATAAGAATAACCCTAGGTTCCTCTTCAGCACTGTAGCCAGGCTGACAGAGAGCCACAGCTCTATTGAGCCACATATCCCCATAACATTAAGTAGCAATGACTTCATGAGCTTCTTCTATAATAAAATTATTACTATTAGAGAAAAAAATAATCACCAACTGCCATCAACAGTTATCAGTGGCTCTCCAAGTTCAGGGACTTCTGTCAATGTAAACTTAGATATATATTTAGACTGTTTTTCTGCTATCGATCTTCATCAGTTAACTTCAATAATTTCTTCATCGAAGCCATCAACCTGTCTATTAGACCCGATCCCAACTAGGCTGCTTAAAGAAGTTGTTCCCTTAATTGGCACTTCTTTACTGGATATGATTAATCTTTCTTTATTATCAGGATATGTACCCCAGTCCTTTAAAGTAGCTGTAATTAAACCCCTTCTTAAAAAGTCCACTCTTGACCCAGGGGTTTTAGCCAACTATAGACCAATTTCTAACCTCCCCTTCCTCTCTAAGATTCCGGAGAAAGTAGTCGCCAAACAGGTGAGTGACTTTCTACATAACAATAGTTTATTTGAGGATTTTCAGTCAGGATTTAGAGTTCATCATAGCACAGAGACAGCTCTGGTTAAAGTTAATAATGACCTTCTGACTGCTTCTGACAATGGACTTGTCTCTGTACTTGTATTATTAGATCTTAGTGCTGCATTTGACACCATTGACCATAATATTCTTTTACAGAGACTTGAGCATCAAATTGGCATTAAAGGAACCGCACTAAGCTGGTTTAAGTCATATTTATCAGATCGCTCGCAGTTTGTACATGTTAACGATGAATCTTCAATAAATACTACAGTTAGTCATGGAGTTCCACAAGGTTCTGTACTTGGACCAATACTATTTACTTTATATATGCTCCCTTTAGGCAACATTATTAGGAATCACTCCATTAACTTTCACTGTTATGCAGATGATATGCAGTTATATCTATCAATCAAGCCCAATGAAATTAATCAATTATCTAAATTACAAACATGTCTTAAGGACATAAAATCCTGGATGACCTGCAATTTTCTGATGTTAAACTCAGAAAAAAACGAAATTCTTGTTCTTGGCCCCAAAACCTTAGAGACTCACTGTCTAAAGATATAGTTACTCTAGATGGCATTAACTTGGCCTCTAGCACCACTGTCAGGAATCTTGGAGTTATCTTTGATCAGGATTTGTCATTTAACTCCCACATAAAGCAGACCTCTAGGACTGCCTTCTTTCATTTACGTAATATTAGAAAAATTAGACACATACTATCACAGACAGATGCAGAAAAAATAATCCATGCATTTGTTACTTCAAGGCTGGATTACTGCAACTCTTTATTATCAGGTTGCCCCAATAAGTCCATTAAAATGCTCCAATTAATTCAGAACGCTGCAGCACGAGTACTGACAGGAACTAGAAAAAGACATCACATCTCTCCTGTACTAGCTTCTCTGCATTGGCTCCCTGTAAAATGTAGAATAGAATTTAAAATCCTCCTCCTCACCTATAAAGCTCTTCATGGTCAGGCCCCTTCATATCTTAAAGAGCTCATAGTACCCTATTACCCCTCTAGAACACTACGTTCTCTGAATGCTGGGCTACTTGTGGTTCCTATAGTCTCTAAAAGTAGAACAGGAGCCAGAGCCTTCAGTTACCAAGCTCCTCTCCTGTGGAACCAGCTTCCATTTGTGGTTTGGGAGGCAGACACCCTCACCACATTCAAGAGTAGGCTTAAGACATTCCTCTTTGATAAAGCTTATAGTTAGGGCTGGATTAGGTGAGTCCTGAACCATCCCTTAGTTATGCTGCTATAGGCCTAGACTATCGGGGGATTTCCCATGGTGCACTGAGCTCCTCCCTTCCTCTCTCTTTCTGCACTCATTCATGTCCCATTAATGCATGTTTCTAACTTCACTTCTTCCCCGGAGTTCTTGTGCTTTCTCGTCTCGCAGGTTCTTGTCGATCCTGGTGGAGCCTCCTGCCATGGTCCTGCTACATTGCCATCGCCAATACTGTTGTTGCTGTGCACCTGTCTGTCTCTCTCTCTCTCTCTCTCTCTCTCTCTCTCTCTCTCTCTCTCTCTCTCTCACCCCAACTGGTCGAGACAGACGACCACCCACCTAGAGCCGGAGGTGGTACTGTTGGGTCTCTGTAATTAATGTTTTAAAGAGTTCGGTCTAGACCTGCTCTATTTGAAAAGTGTCCTGAGATAACTTCTGTTATGAATTGGCGCTATACAAATAAAATTGAATTAAAATTGAATTGAATTCACATGATGCAGACTGTGGTCTATAATGTGGTCTTTAATAAGGGTCAACCAACTTAAATAATGTGTTTGTCAACCTGTTGCACAAATTATACTGAAACATGCAAGAGGGACTCTTGGAGGAATGACTAATGTACAGTAAACATTCATTCTGCAGTTTCACCAAACATCAACTGAGATCCAAGTCAAATCCAGTTCCACACTGTGAGGAGGTGTCAATGCAAAACTCAGATGTCTTCCACCTCTACTTATCTGACTGCAGAGAGGATGACAGAGAACAGTGGACACTGTTCTCTGGACAGGACTGCTGCTGTTAACTATCTGCTGGGCAGGTGAAGGTCATATCTGATCTTTATTTCATTTTTTTTTTTTTTTTTTGTGCTGCCACTTTAACACATGACATGAATATCTTTCTTGGCTTGACAGGTGTTGATGGTCAGACTCTGACAGAATCTGAACCAGTGGTTAAAATGCCTGGAGAATCTCACAGATTGACCTGTGCAGCCTCTGGATTCACATTCAGCAGCTATCATATGAACTGGGTCAGACAGGCTCCTGGAAAAGGACTGGAGTGGATTGCCTGGGTTGAAAGAGATAATGACAGGAAATACTACTCTCAGTCAGTTCAAGGCCGGTTTACCATCTCCAGAGACAACAGCAGACAGCAGGTGTATCTGCAGATGAACAGTCTGAAGACTGAAGATTCTGCTGTTTATTATTGTGCTCGAGATTCACAGTGACACAGGAAGGAGCAACGTCATACAAAAACCTCCTGTACTAGTACTTTTTTCTGAAACTGAAAGATTATTATTAACCACCAACATAAATCATAAAAAATAAAATGTTTTAATGATCAGTTCCTCACAAAACAGCCAAGGGCAGCACAACAATCGATTGAAATCATTGTCCAAAAATTAATCAAATAAATATTACATGTACACATTTCAGGCATATTAACCGTCATTTCGAACATATCAGGAGTACTGACTGGGGTCCCTGGGAGCCAATAATAAACTACTCTAAGAGACAGCCAGAAAAATGTTAACTTTCTTTTGAAAACATTAGTTATGCAGTTAATGTCATCTGAAAAGAAACAGATAATTATTATTTTGGGAAAGCTACAGTTAACTGGCATATTGGGTATTACTAAAGTGATACTTTAAATCAGAACCCATGGCACAAATTAAGTTTATTAAAAATAACATCAAATAACATAAATACATACAATGAATAATAGAAAGTCAATAAATAAAAATTGATTGACAAAATCATGAAAAATTGGAATGATAGAATAAAGCTTGTTATATGACAACAATTTTACCTCTTGGATCAGTGGGATTTAAGGTTAATGTTTATATGATTTGGTTAAGTCACAATTATGAGAGTGTAATAATGTTGCAGTTCCCATTATAAAAACACTAGATGGCAGTCAGTGTCAAGTTTCTCTCTCCTCTGTCACTATCCAAGAATAAACTTCTTTTTAAAAGACTCTCATATCTGCTTATCTCACTGATCTCAACTGACTGACACTCAAACCCTGGACTGAATTAGAGTTTTATACTCACACCCTTTGTGAGCTCGCTTCACCACAACACTGATAGAACATTTGAAGTGCTGGATCAACAGTGACTGCAGCTTCATGTGTTCATTTAGTTTGGAGGTCACACTGAAGTGAAGACACTGAGAAAAGGAGAAAGACTGAACAACATCTTTATTGTTGGTGTTTCTGTCTGTTTTTAACTCACTCTCTCTCTTATTCCAGCACTCCTCCTTCTCTCACAGATTTAGTCTTTATGTATCAACACTGTAACTCCAAAATGTCTGACTGTTAAAATGCAAATTCACACACTGATACACAATCCCCACCCATTCTGCCTGCACAATATATATCCTTCATAATAACCTTTGCAGTTGCAGACTCAGCCAAGTTCCCACCATGACAGCTGTACAAAGTCTCTTCCTCTTGGCTCTCATTTCAGGTGAGTGAAGTCGGTATGCAGCTGAGGAGAAAATGAGCTTTGGATGTCTGCTGGCCCCCCCCTCATCTAAACTCTGTGTCTCTTTCAGTTGCTCAGGGTCAGTCCCTCACCTCCTCAGAGGCAGTGGTCAGCAGAGCTGGAGAACCAGTCACTCTGTCCTGTAAAGTGGAAGGACTCACTCTGGCTTGGCTGCACTGGATTCGTCAGAAACCAGGGAAAGGACTGGAATGGATCAGACGCATTGATAGCGGAACTGGCACAATATTTGCCCAAAGTCTCCAAGGCCAGTTTTCCATCACCAAAGACACCTCCAAAAACCTTGTGTCCTTAGAGGTGAGGAGTCTGAAACAAGAAGACTCTGCAGTTTATTATTGTGCACGAGAGCCACAGTGACACACCAGACTGCAACGCTGCACAAACACTGAACAACACTGATCCCTGTGTGAGAAGCACTGAAGCATGTCAGCCCTTTGACAACAGTTTACCACTGAATGACTGATTATCACTGAAATATATTTATTAAATAAAAAACAGTTTGCCACTGAATGATGGCCAATCACCAATGAAACATATTTCATCATAAAAAAAATATTTGTCAGTGTTTATCATGACTCACAGCAATGTCTGCTTTTATAATCAGACAACCTCCCTGTAATTAGCATTAATTAAAGTACAAAACTTAAAAGGCACAGTATCATTAACACACTGACACAACCTACATCAACTTCATGAGACTTATATAAATCCAAATATGAGTGACAGGGTACATATTTGTTTTTTTCATGATATTATGAAGGATGTTGTTCAAATCATTATTTAACACTACATTGCCAATGTCATATTCAATACAAATCATAACTTACTTTTTGTTAAATTTAGTTTGTAAAGAGAAAGAAGCTGAAAAACATTAGATCAGAAAATAAAATAAAATCACAGTTTTCACCTGGTTGAATGCTTTAAACTATCAGTATAAACCTTTCTCTACATATATTGCATATATATAATACATATTTCTCTTCTGTGATATATCTATAGTATTATAGTTGATTATTGTTCCTGCGATGACCACATCAGCTATCTAAATTTATATATTATGTGACTGAATTTTCTCCTCGCTGTGAGGAGGAGTCAATGCAAAACTCAGATGTCTTCCACCTCTACTTATCTGACTGCAGAGAGGATGACAGAGAACAGTGGACACACAGTTTAAGTTTTAATGATGGACTATAGGACAGGACTGCTGCTGTTAACTATCTGCTGGGCAGGTGAACATCTTCACTGATGTTGATTTGACATATTTTTATGTGTGCTGCCAACGTAACATATGACATGCATCTTTCTTGGTTTGACAGGTATTGATGGTCAGACTCTGACAGAATCTGAACCAGTGGTTAAAAGGCCTGGAGAATCTCACAGATTGACCTGTACAGCCTCTGGATTCACATTCAGCAGCTACTGGATGGCCTGGGTCAGACAGGCTCCTGGAAAAGGACTGGAGTCGGTTGCTGGTATTTATGACAGTAGCAACATCTACTACTCTCAGTCAGTTCAAGGCCGGTTTACCATCTCCAGAGACAACAGCAGACAGCAGGTGTATCTGCAGATGAACAGTCTGAAGACTGAAGATTCTGCTGTTTATTATTGTGCTCGAGACTCACAGTGACACAGGAAGGACCAACGGCATACAAAAACCTCCAGTACTTATCTTTACTGGGCTTTTACTTTTGTTGTTGTTGTTTTGAAAACTGAAAGATTATTATTACCACCAAAATAAATCATTAAAAACATAAAATGTTTTAATGATCAGTTCCTCACAAAACAGCCAAGGGCAGCACAATAATCTGAAAAATGTATCAAATAAATACTATATTTACACATGTCAGGCATATTAACCCTCATCTGGACATATCAGGAGTACTGACTGGGGTCCATGGGGAGCCAAGAATAAACTACTACAAGAGAGAGCCATAAAAATGTTAACTTTCTTTTTAAAACATATAGTTGTGCCGTAAATGTCATCTGAAAAGAAACAGAAAATTATTATTTGTGGATTAAGTTTCTCTCTCCTCTGTCACTATAAGGAGACTCTCATATCTGCTTATCTCACTGATCTCAACTGACTGACACTCAAACCCTGGACTGAACTAGAGTTTTATACTCACACCCTTTGTGAGCTCGCTTCACCACAACACTAATAGAACATTTGAAGTGCTGGATCAGCAGTGACTGCAGCTTCATGTGTTCATTTATAGTTGTAGATCACCATTTCAAAGATGTTTCAAAATAAAGACTGAAGGAGCTGCTGTTTATTCTTGTGTTTGTTGAAAGTTGAATGAGTAAGTGATACTGCAATAAGACAAACATTTACTTCCTAAGTTCTTGAAGGAAAATGTCTTACTTCCACATGTTTCCTCTCTCAGCAGTAATCCACTTCACTGAGATGAGGATCAGTTTTGAAATAAAAGTGTATGAGACAACATATTCTTACTCTCTGTCTCTCAAAAATGGAAATGTGAAAACTGACAAACACACAGAAAAAGGAGAAAGACTGAAAAACATCTTTAATGGTGGTGTCTCTGTTTTAAACTCATTCTCTCGTCACAGTCAAACACTTTCTCACAGATTTAGTCTTTATGTATCAACACTGTATCTACACAATCATTGAAGTCAATATAAAGTTTTCTCTGCTGTTGCAGAGATACTCAGCGTATGAAAATATATCTGTCACATGTTTCCTTTTTAAACCTGTAGAGGAAGGTCTATGCAAACTCTTCCTCTCTTATAAACACTCCATCAGCAAGAACACTGGGACAGATTTATATATTTACTGAAACACTCAGATCAGAGAGCACTGAACTACAGTGTTTATCTCAGAATGGAAAATACAATGATCTGGAGTTTATTATTTATCGTTACTATTCAGGGTGAGAGAATCAGTTCAGCTTTACATCTTTTCTAAATGTCTAACTGGTGATTAACAGATTCATTGGATAATGATCACAATTTGTTTTCTTACAGGAGTTTGGAGTGAGATCAAACTTGACCAGACTCCCTCTGAGGTGAAAATACCTGGAGAGACAGTGAAGATGTCATGTATCATATCTGGTTATAGCATGACAAGCGGCTATTTTGACTGGATTCGACAGAGGCCAGGGAAAGCTCTGGAGTGGATCGGTGACATGAATTCAGGTTCAAACTCTCCTACCTATTCCAGCTCCTTTCAAAGTCGTTTCATCATGACTGAAGATGTGTCCAGCAGCACTCAGTACCTCGAGGTCAACAGCCTGACAGCAGAAGATTCTGCTGTTTACTTCTGTGCTCGAAGAGACACAGTGACTGAAGACAGTGGAGCAGCTGCACAAAAATCTCCAGACAACAAACAGCAGTGTGATCTTCTTGATATCTTGGTTTTCTCCCCACCACCTGCAAAAGCACTTTCATATATCCACATTATATTTCTATATAGTACTGTAATATCATGAATAAATAATTATTTTGATGATGTTAAATCATTCACAATAACAGAATCCCTTCAAAGGGTTATTCATACTAAATGACCTATGTCACATTCACAAGTACAAAACATAAATTTTGTGAATTTAATTTGAAAAGACTTACATCCTCATGCGCTGCCCAATATGCTTAAAGGGAATACTGAGAAGCCTTAATCCCAAGATGAATTATACGTTTTGTAATTTCACACATACATTGTTTGTAAGTGTGATAGATTTCTGAATTCAACTTTTTAAGCTCCATCAAAAGAAATGTGGGAAATATGTTTGTGGTTTTCATATAGAGATATTTTACAGCAAAACACGTCTGGACATTTGGACTGAACATTGATTCTCCAGTTTAACCAAACAAACTAAAAGCCAAGTCCAACCCTGTTCTCTCCTCCCTGTGAGGAGGAGTTAATGCAAAACTCAGATGTCTTCCACCTCTACTTATCTGACTGCAGAGAGGATGACAGAGAACAGTGGACACACAGTTTAACATGATGGACTATAGGACAGGATTGCTGCTGTTAACTATCTGCTGGGCAGGTGAACATCTTCACTGATCTTTAGTTGAAGTTGTTTTCAAAATGCTTCTAACTTAAAGCAACTGACCACTTTTGTTTTTGTCTTGACAGGTGTTGATGGTCAGACTCTGACAGAATCTGAACCAGTGGTTAAAAGGCCTGGAGAATCTCACAGATTGACCTGTACAACCTCTGGATTCACATTCAGCAGCTACTATATGAACTGGGTCAGACAGGCTGCTGGAAAAGGACTGGAGTGGATTGCTTATATCAGCAGTGGCAGTTGCAACATCTACTACTCTCAGTCAGTTCAAGGCCGGTTTACCATCTCCAGAGACAACAGCAGACAGCAGGTGTATCTGCAGATGAACAGTCTGAAGACTGAAGATTCTGCTGTTTATTATTGTGCTCGAGACTCACAGTGACACAGGAAGGAGCAACGCTGTACAAACATTTACAGTACTTATCCTCACTGGACTGATTATGAGAAATATTTCTGTTTATGATCTTTTGTTGTTGTTTTAAAAATGTAGAAAGATCATCAACAACAATAACCATTTAAACCCATTAAATTCTGTAACATTCACTTCCTCACAAAACAGCCAGACAGCACAGCAGTCTTTCTCAGAGACAGTTTCTGGTTTTACTTATTGAAAAATGACTTAAAAAACAAAACTTTTTCAAAATTTGAAAACAATTAAATTTAAACAAGTATTAAATTCTGATTTGCCTGAATGAAATTTATTTGACTGATGTCACAATTCCTACATTATTTCTCAAGTGCAACAAACTAAAGGCCAAACTCTGCCCTCATTGTGAGGACGAGTTTGTCTTCTACCTTTAATAATCTGACTGCAGACAGTGACAAAGCTTTTAGTTTTTACTGCAACTTTTGTTTTACACAAGGTAACAGAGTTTATATGTCTGAGTGGACAATTTATTTCTAGTGACTGAAAAAAGTTCCCAGCAGTTTTCTTAACTTTGATTCTTACTGAGGTTTTCATTCCCCTGATATCCTTTAAGTGCTATGACTTATGAACACTTTGTGAAGAAATCAGCAGTATAACATAATGAACAACGTTTGTTAAGGTGTCATATTTCTGTCAAAATGTAACTAAAATTATTTAGTAACTGAGACCCAAGTCAAATCCAGCTCAAACAGCTCACTTCATATTTAAAGTGTGTTTTAATCATTTGAAAACATGATAAACATACTGTAAACATGTCTTATAGAAAGCAACATTATTGGTGATTGTTCCTTTTGTTTCCATGGGTGCACATCATCATTGTTACATTAATGTATATGTTCTGTATCATGATTAATGCTCATATTCACATTAAGATTAGTAATAATGATCCTTATCATTGTTTGCAATTATACAAAAAAATACAAAATGTTTTAATATTGACTTGTTTGGATTTAGACAGTCATAGTTTACAGTCAGAGCAAAGTTAAAGTTGTTTCAGTTCTGTAAATGCAGAGGACATTTTCAAATATATCATATGTAAAGCAGTGGTGATTTCCAGGCATGTTTTCTCTCTGCAGATATAATAACATTCAACAGACTCTTCTATTGGCTCCAGTTAGACCAACATTGATGCTTCATATGTTTGATTCTATGCAAACTCAGTGACCTTCCTTGTTACTCAGCTATAAAAACTTCCCATCAGGCTGTCAGTGGAGTTCACAGCACGTCAGTTTCAACATAAACCATGTTCTCTGTAGCTCTGCTGCTGCTGTTGGCAGCTGGATGTGAGTCTCTCTGGATTTGTCAAAGTCAACAGTTCTTCTTTTGCAGTATAACTTGATCATTTGTTACAAAACATTTTCTTTTTTAACAGGTGTGAACTGTGAACAGTTGACACAGCCAGCCTCTGTGACTGTGCAGCCAGGTCAACGTCTGACCATCACCTGTCAGGTCTCTTATTCTGTTAGCAGCTACTACACAGCTTGGATCAGACAGCCTGCAGGGAAAGGGCTGGAGTGGATTGGAATGAGAGTTGGATCCACCACATATTACAAAGATTCACTGAAGAACAAGTTCAGTATCGACTTAGACTCTTCCAGTAACACAGTGACTCTAAACGGACAGAATGTGCAGCCTGAAGACTCTGCTGTGTATTACTGTGCTAGAGAGACACAATAACACAAACCATCAGTAGACCTGAACAAAAACCCCTCAGTGCCTGAACACTTGTAACATGAAGCCACCAGAGGAGGAGCCCTCAGACCACAGTTACAGTGAAGACAGAAACAGACATGATAAGAATTGAAAAAGTGAAAGGAATAACACACAGTTAATTATTACATAGATAAATAATATCAAATATACAGTGGAGGTATTTTGCAAAACATGTCCTCTCAGTCTTTCTCAAAAATATGAATTAGTTTAGTTACATGTTATTCCTTTATTTAATGCTTAATTAATATTCTCAATGTATTCTAACTATTATTGATACCCAGGTTTTGTCAACCTGTTGCACAAATTATACTGAAACATGCAAGAGGGACTCTTGGAGGAATGACTAATGTACAGTAAACATTAATTTTGCAGTTTCACCAAACATCAACTGAGATCCAAGTCAAATCCAATTCCACACTGTGAGGAGGAGTCAATGCAAAACTCAGATGTCTTC